CCCCCCCCCGTGTTTTCTGAGTTCCTTTTAGTTAATAAAATTTTTCTTTTTAAGTTGAAAGAGTTCGAAGTCCTCTGAGCGGATGAGTGAGGTGTGTAGTATAAGGTGGCAAGAAGTTGATTCAGTGGCTTCTTAACCATGCACTGATTTCAAGTTGCAGGGTGGTTTTGATTTTTAAACAGTTCTGGGTATGAACTGCTGTTGTAACAAATCATTTCATCACTTAGTGACCTAACACAGTGATCTTATTATTATTTCTCACAGTTTGAGGGAATGACTGGGACCTCTGAGTGGTTCCCACTTTGAGTATCTGACGCAATTAGCAGTCACTGGGTACCTGAGGGAAGCGTCATCTCAAAAGCTTTATCTGTCACGTGCATGTCTGGAGGTTGATGGTGGTTCTCAGATAGGACCTACACGTGGCCTCTCCCATGTGTACCGACTGGGCTTTCTCAGACCAAGTGGCTTAGGTTCTGAGAATGAGTGTCCTAAGAGCCCCAGGCAGAAGCTGTATCAACCTTTTATGACTTAGTCCAGAAGTCATGTAGTATCAGTTCTGCTCTTGTCCACAATAAAAGAAAAGGAACATTAGACCCCATCTCTTGTGGGAGAAGAGTCAATGTCAAATTGAAGGGCATGTGGGATGGAAGGTATTGGCATAGCTATCTTTGGAAAATATAATTTTTTCACAGTTTTAAATAATTTGTATTCCTAGTGCATAAATTTTATGCACAAAAATTGTTAGCTGGACATGGAATAAATACTGACTTGAAAAATGAAAGAGCACAAAATCAATAATTCTTCCAGATTACTTCAGGGTGACTTTTACCTGCTCCGTAAATTGAATTAATATGATTAAAATTCTTATGTTGCATACTAAGGTGATTTTATTTATAATTTTTAATATTAATTTTTTGAGAGAGAGTGTGTGTGAGTGGATTGTGGCTCAGATACCACAGATACTCACATTTCTTAGATTTTCTTTAATAAGTGTTTCTTCATTTGATGTATGTCCCAGGCATTGTCTAGAGACTTTAAATGGTGGTTTTTGCTTTTGTTACAGTTTTTACCAGTTATAATTCTTGCACCGGGGAGAAGGTCTGTATCCCCTCATTCCAAATGTTGTCCCAGTCTTATTGTTTCCATCATAAAATTGCTCCTAAATTATACACCACTCCAAACGAATGCAGTTTTAGAAATCACTAAAGGTTGTTCTAACAATATATATTGAGAAAAAGCTTTGGATAAATAAAAATTTGGGTACTCCTAAACTGCATACAAGCCTTAAATGTTCATTTCATGGCTTTCTAGTTTTGAACAAGAGAGATTTCTCTTGGACCATGTATCTTTGTGGTCATTTGGTGATCTTAGTCTAATCTAAGACAGGTCTAGAATATTTTTAGGAATGTCTCAATTTTTGTATAATACCCACTGCTTTGTGTGAAAATGGTACTTATTAAGAACAGTGAGTTCAGTGAGTTGGCATTGTCCCTATCCCTGTCAAGGCCATGGCATTTGCTTCTGCTCTGTACAAGGGTGCCTGGCTGGGGGATATGTTGAGGGGCTGAAGGCCAGCCTGTGCTCTGTTTATCATGGTGCAGAACTATGTTAACCTAGAGATACGCATACCTTAATTCTAGTCCATACAAAGGTATCTTGTGGGCTTGCTTGTCCTGTTTTTTAGGAATTTTCAGTGTCTAGCTGGAAGTAACACTTGAACGCTAGTGTGTATGAGACTACATCGAAGGGGTGCCTGCGTGGCTCACTCAACTCTTGATTGCAGCTCAGGTCACGATCCCAGGGTCATGGTATCAAGTCCCATGTTGAGCTCTGTGCCGATCATGGAGCCTGCTTAAGATTTTCTCCTTCTCCCTCTACATCTCTTCCCTGCTCATACGCTCACCTGCTCTCCCTCTCTCAGAAAAAATATATATATACATCCAAAAGATACCTAATGCTATGGCAACTCAGAGGAATGGATTACTTCTTCTAGGGACAATAGAAAAAAGAGTTTAGGTTGAGGAGGTGACATTTGTTAGGGCTTGAAAGGGTAGATAGCATTTTGACAAGTGGAAATGAGTGCTGGGGCATCTCAGGAAAATAGAATTAGCAGAAGCATGGAAATAGCAAAGCTCATGACATTTTTGGGTAACAAAGTGATGGGGGTTTTTTGGTTTGTTTTTTTTTTTTAACATTGGTGAATGTGGCTGAGTACTGAGAAAGGTAGCTAGGGAAGTGCATGGAGTAGTCGAGAAGCTAGAGAAGAAGTCTTTATTTGTTAGTGTAAGGAGTTTATTCAAGAGATTTAGGTAGCTGTGGGAGAGTTTTTGGTTTTCTAAGAGAGACAATTTGGTATAAAAAAATAGTGTAAGGAGCGTGTTAAATCGATGTTGGAGAGCTGGAAAAGCAAAAGGAGATCATCGAAGCATCCTGGAGCTAATCATGTGCAGAAAGCAGCTACTACCCCTGTAGCTCTTCTGATCAGTAAGAAAAAGCCAACAGTCTAAGTAGAAAAAGTACAAAACAAGAAAGGTGACCATATAAAGGAAAAATAGAAATGGCCAATGAAACAACAACAACAATAATAATAACTTCTTTGATGAAGATTTTTAGGAGAATGAGTATAATCGTAATTAAAGTGTAAATTGCTATAATCTTTCTGGAGCATTTTTTCAGTATGTACCAAAAACCTTAAAAATAATTGTTTACTTTGAGAAGATCTTCTGAGACTGTGGGTGAGAATGCAGGTTATAGGTGGAGATGAGTTAAATTGATAAGAGCTCATGTATGACAGTTGTGCAGTCAGAGAAAAGCAGGTATCTTGTGGTTCTCAGAACATTGCTGTGGTTCCCGTGGGCAGTCAGCTGGCTTCCTGTGAGGGCAGTCAGCAGCAATATCTTGCAGTTATTAAATAGCAGAAATATATAAACAGACCGGTTTCATGATTTT